ATGCACAAAGGTTAGACTCTTCTTAACTTCGAACATTTCGTCTTTCATGCTCTTAAGCTCCGTCAGATCATTTTGAATCATCTGATCTAATGCACTTGATATAACTGAGAAACTGGACCGAAATACCGAAATGTTTTAATTTTTCTGTTATTTATACACTAGAAACTACTTGTATTTCAAATTTGAACTTCCTACGTCACCTGGAACTGGGTTAAAATTTTGATCTATAGGTCAGTCAGTCAGTCAGTCAGTCAATGATAAAAATAAGGATTTTTGGACATTAATATCAAAATAACCGTTTGAATTTGATACGTTTATGTGAATTAGTTTTTGATTTATGAGGGGGTCAAAACTGGATCGATATTTTTCTTCTGTTTCTTGAACTTGGCTTGACTCGCTACCGCGTGTTTAGATCTCTTGTTAGTGACGATGTAATTAATCGAAACTCTGTTATTGATTAGTTCATCCCTGTTGTCTCTATGTGAGGAAGGGAATAACAAGTATTTAGTTTATTTGCTTAGAATCTTAAAATCTATATTTGTGGTTCTAGTAAATAAGTGCCAGTATACGTACCATTGCTTACAAAAACATTCAAAATTCCCAATTTCTCTATCTATCTGCAATACTCGTACAATCATCCTTATCTGAGATCGCTATTGACATATTTTGGTATACCTAACATTGTATCAAATAAGAGTAGGTACATATCTATAGTTAACGAGATAAGTGAGTACTCGCCTACCTTGTTGAGTTTACGGCAGAAAGTATGCTGTTTTTAAAATACACTGCAAAAAGGTCGATAACAATAAGGACATGTGAAAATAATTCTAAATAAATATATAGTTTCGAAATAATCAAAAGAAGCTACATTTTGTAATATTATTAATTCATTAATTCTTTAAGAAGTTAAGCGGTTGGTGCACAATCAGGTCATTGGCACATCATGTTATCGTAACCTTTTATTTCCGTTACCGGCCCATTGTGCTGCTCGACGAGGTGGGAAAGCTGTTCGAGAGGATAATCTCAGACCGCCTCGTCGGGCACCTGTCTGGAAGGGGGCCGGATTTAGCGGACGGCCAGTTCGGCTTCCGCAGAGGGCGCTCCACGGTGGACGCCATCATGCGCGTGAGGGACCTCACGACGGGGACAGCGTTGGCCGGGAGGCGAGTCGTCGTGGCGGTGTCTCTGGACATCGCCAACGCCTTTAACTCGCTGCCCTGGAGCTGCATTTTGGAGGCACTCCGGTATCACCGGGTGCCTGCCTATCTCCGTCGTGTAGTCGAGGCTTACTTGACGGACAGATGCGTCATCTACCCCGGTCACCGGGGCGTGTGGAATCGGCGAGAGGTGTCGCGCGGTGTCCCACAGGGATCGGTCCTGGGACCTCTCCTGTGGAACATCGGGTACGATTGGGTGCTACGCACCGACCTCCCGAGCGGCGTCAGCATTGTCTGCTATGCTGACGACACGCTGGTGCTGGCGAACGGGAGGTCGCATCAGGCGGCGGCCGACCTGATGTCACAAGCGGTTGCGACAGTCGTTGCAAGGATCCGGCAGTTGGGACTCGAGGTGGCGCTCCACAAGTCCGAGGCCATGTGCTTCTATGGCCGTCGGAGCGCGCCACCTCCAGGTGGGTCCCAAGTAACGGCAGGAGGAGTTACCATCGGCGTCGAGTCGGCGATGAAGTACCTTGGTCTCGTCCTCGACAGCCGATGGAACTTCACGGAGCATTTTCGTCGTTTGGCCCCTAAGTTGGAACGGTCTGGGGCCGCGCTCAAGCGGCTCCTTCCCAACCTCGGGGGGCCAAACGCCTCCTGCCGGAGGTTGTATATGGGGATTGTGCGATCCATGGCCCTCTACGGTGCCCCTGTGTGGGCGCCGGACTTGAAGCGGCGGCCGGCTCGTACGCTGGTCGCGTCCCAGAGGGTCATGGCTATACGAGTAATCCGCGGGTATCGCACGATCTCCGGGGAGGCGGCGAACCTCCTTGCCGGATCACCGCCGTGGGATCTAGAAGCGAAGGCGCTCGCGCGCGTCTACAGTTTGCGCGCAGACGCGCGTCGCCGGGGCGAAGATCCTCTGCCGCGCCAAATAAGTGCCTGGCGGAATGAGCTCCGGCGAGATCTCATGGCAGAGTGGAGACAACGACTGTCGCAACCGAGGGCCGGGCACGCTACCATAGCAGCGGTAAGACCCCTCTTTGAGGAGTGGCTTGAGAGACGCCACGGCGTCCTCACCTTCCGTCTGACGCAGGTGCTTACCGGGCACGGCAGCTTCGGTAGGTTCCTGTTTCGGATTCAGCGGGAGGAAACGCCCGAGTGTCGTCATTGTGAGGACCACCTAGAGGATACGGTGGAGCATACGGTAGCGGTATGCCCTGCCTGGGCTGAGCACCGCCGTATCCTCAGGGAAGTGATCGGCGGCGGCGACCTCTCGCGCCCGGCCTTAGTCGAGGCCATGGTGCGGAGTGAGAGGAACTGGGACGCCGTCTCCTCCTTTTGTGAAGCGGTCATGCTCGCAAAGAGAGAGGCGGCCCGCGTGAGGGAGCAATCCTCCTCCTCACGCCCCAGCAGCCGCAACTGGCGACACTACGGGCGTTGGGGATCGAGGGACGATCTCCGGCCACCGTAAGTACGGGCCTGCGGTCGGCGAGTAAGGGCAGCTCGCCGCCCGACCAGAACCAGGCCCGAGCGTACGGCGCGTAGCGTTCCGCGCGCGCCTCAAAGAGCCAATAGACCACCACAGACGGGGCCCTAAAGGGCTGATGTTCAGCCGGGGCTGCGGGGTAAGCGCAATAAGGTACCGCGACCTCGGCACAGAGCAGGAGAAGGAACAGGGGGGTTTTTAGTCAGTAAGAGTCTGACACTCCCTCCTGCCCGGCCCTGGGCGGGAGAAGTCATTTGATGATTTTCCCCTCACAAAAAAAAAAAAAAAAAAAAACCTTTTATTTCCGTGAATGAACTGCTGCTAAATAAGCCAGGAACCTGGTGCTTCCTACATCTCTATAAACCTACTCCATTGAAACTGAAAATCGAACGCATGACCTCGTTATCAGCAGTCACGCTGGCGACTGCTAGAGTGCGCCAGTTGTTTAATGCAAATTGTTTCCATTCATGTAGCACACAAGGTTACAATCTTTCATCGTAGACAGCTGTACAGCTAGGTTAACTAGTATTGTTAACCTCGACCAATAAGTTTGCTATTTCTGAAGAATAAGTATTTACTTTATTACATAATACGTTACATAACTGCAGTACTGTCATATGAAGCGTTCGAGCGCCGGTCACGGCTTCGTAGCTCTACCCAATGTTTTTGCAGCCATATATATCATAATTTTATTTATCGTGGAAAATCTTCCCTCAGAGCAAGACACACCTATTTCCAGTACATCTGTCAGTCACGTTTCCTTGACAGTTTAAGTTTGACAGAATCTTGCAATCTACTTTAAATTTTTATCTCGTATCAACAGGTGTATGTAGGTAGGCAACTAAGTATTTACTTTCTAAAAATAATTGTGCGTCAATAGTGGTAGGTACAGCTAGGTACCTACAGATATGAAGTAAGCGAGATAAAGTCGCTCACACCTCTGATTTCTTTAAGATTATCTCGAGATATTAACATAAATAAAAATACTATGTGAGATAGAGTAATGACTGGAATATTTTATGACGACAACAAATAATAGAAGGGTCCATAGTCCATAATCCAAAAACAATTGATAATAAAATGCGATATACCAACCTATAACATAAAAGACTAGCTACCTATCATGTAGAGATGTCTATTTCTGCCATAATCATTCGTAAACTATGGACAGGTTTAATCGTACATCATGACAACAGGAGGCAGTAGATGATCTTCCCCGATCAAAAAATGGCGACTCCAGAGACCATCAACATTACCACTTTCTCAAAATATCAAGCAAACTATTATAGTTGCAAATACCTTGTATTGTCGCTAAAAATATTTGCTCTCAAAATGTAGTTTCGTTTTCTAAAAAGCACCTACATATGCAATTTCTTATCACGACATGGCTGCCATTAGAACTTATAGCTACAGCTACCCAAAACCTTAATTAAGCTTAAATGACATAGTACTAAATTCAGTAACCCTTTGGCTTAGATAACCAGACAGGTGTTCTTGCCCAAAGTCCCTATCAGACTCTACCTATGTATCGATCTTACACGTAGGTTATTTATTCGTCTTTTTGTCTCACAAGGGAATAAAATTCACCCACAATATGAATCACCAAAGATCCGTTTGTGTAGGGGAACATTGATAAAACATCTAATTCACAAAATGGAAGGATTCATTGTCAGCGTTTTTATTAGAAAGTCCAATTTGAAGAGACGATACCGCGAAATCGGATTATTAAGTCTGAAAATAACATAGGTAATGATAAGTACCTTTCTAGGTATTTTGTTACCTATGTTATTTAATATGTTCTATTATTAAATTCCAATGAAATATTTTTAATAGAACCTTCTTCGAAAGGAGACATACAATTTTGTGTAATCACCCGAAAGGCAAATGTGTACATACATTTTAAGGGTTCATTAATATCTACAATTAGGTACCTACATTTATTTTTAAATTAAAACCGGGTGTCTATTTCTTCATTATAAACAGAGCGTATCCAATTACCAATTAGTTACTACAATACATAAGTAGGCACTGCTAACACACTAGTTAGCTTCAGCCTCTTACTAGCTGACTAACGTTCACTTTTTAAACTTTCCTGAGCAATAGCCATTAATCACTACAATTCAAGGTTACTTTATTTAGCCTAAGGCCTATATGTCTGTAATGTACACGAACTGTCTAGCCAGGGCATTGAATGTTGGTATTATGTACATGTTTGTATGTATGTCGTGGTGGCTATAAGTTTGAAATTGCCAATCCGCTTTTGCTCAGAAGTTGACATTTATAGGCTGATAATGTATTATGTACATGAAACTGAGATGAATGTTGTTCATTGAAGGATTTTTGTTTTTATACAGGGAGGGTAACCACCCCGAGGATTACAGCCGCATAACATACATGAAGCTGATGGACTTAGTTTGCCAATTTGCCAATGGACTTCGGGAACGCGGGATCGGCAAGGGAGACAGGGTCTCTATCTACATGCCGATGATTTTGGAGACCGTCGTATGCATGTTAGCCTGTGCTAGAATTGGTGCGGTGCACTCCGTCGTGGTAAGTGAAGCTAATGTAACATTATTGTAATTATGGTATGAGGCAAATAAAATGTAAAATATATTTTGAATACTTTTAGTTCGCTGGATTTTCATCAGATTCGCTGGCCGAGCGCATGTCTGACTGTAAAGCGAAAGCTATAGTTACGGCGGACGGCGCATGGCGAGGAGAAAAGCTGCTTGTTTTGAAAAATACTTGTGACGAAGCTATTCAGAAAGCGAAGGAAAAGTACAATCACTTAGTTGACATGTGCATTGTGGTGCCCCACTTGAACAGAGTCACTCCTTGCGGAAAGATACCAGAGGACGTAAAGACCCTGGTAAGAACTTATTTTATCTATCTACCAACGGTCTACCTGTCGCACGGACGCATGCATTATATCGATATTAAATTGTTATTTGCATCTAAAACGACTGTCATTATTTTGCAGTATAAGTGGAATGACGATATTGATGTCTGGTGGAATGATATCGTGGAGGGAATGTCGACCATCTGCCCGCCAGAGTGGCTCACCCCTGATGACCCACTGTTTATGCTCTACACTAGGTAAATTATTATCTATAAACCCTGTAGTTAGTATTACTTTTTACGCGTTCTGTGTTTTACAATGTTATTATTTGTTGCTTTAGCGGTTCTACTGGAAAACCAAAGGGCGTACTGCACACTACAGCCGGATACATGTTGTATGCCGCGGCAACGTTCCGCTACGTGTTTGACCATCGGGAGAAGGACATTTACTGGTGCACGGCCGATGTCGGCTGGATCACCGGCCATACTTATGTAGTGTATGCACCCTTGGCCAACGCTGCCACCTCTGTCATGGTAAGCTACTGTTTGATATCACTGTGGAGTGTGGGTATTATGTTCATGCAATCGTTAAAGGCATTGTGATATTTCCCACGCATTAGCTTGAGGATATGTTACCAGGCTTTAAAATTTTTGATAGGTTGTTACGAACAGTGGGATCAAATAATGACTTTGCGTTATCATGATTATCTTTTTAGGAAGAGGAATTTTCCAAAAAGGTTGTTGCTATTTGCTAAATGGTGCCATTGTGTAGGCACTTATGATGTTTTCATCTTGTTAGGACATATCACATGCTATTTCGTAACAACTTTGTTATTCGGGGGTATTTTTCCTAAGTGATTTGATAAGGACTCGTATCATTTGTGGCACCAATCACGACAAGCTAAAAATATACTTAGCAGCTTGGCACTGAGGATGGCTTATCAAGTAGTTACAACAATCTAATTAAATGTAAGGAATTAAGGAATTTACAGTTTGATGAATGATGTGTTGGTTGCTAGTTACGAGTAAGATAACTTACGTTTTATTGACGAGTTACTCAGTGACCTTTACTTAGTTCGTGTTCATCAGACGAACATTATTAGTTCAACATTGGGTCTTAGGACGAACCAGTCGACTTATTCTTACATAATCAAGATCAATACTTTGTAAACAGAAACATAATTAAACAATCCGCTAATCTCGTGGTAGGCTTGAGGCACGTAGAGGTCATGCGTTTCTAAATCTTCATTTGTGTTTTGTTGTATTAACATTTTTGTTCTTGAACTACCACGAAAGAAACCAATGTGCTTTTTATGTATTCCTATGATTGAACTTGGCATTGAGCAAGTCTTAACGTATTAACTACGAAAACATTAGCCGCAACCTTGTCACCGACAGTGAAGCTGTCAGTATGTACAATAAAGTGAAGTTGTATTAAGAGAAACAATATATGTAAGTAGGTAGCTTGTAGGCGATTCAAACTAACGATGAATAAAATATTCAAGTGGCATGGAACAAAATATTTTTTGTCATGTGACAGTACAGTAGGTATCTTATACAGTTTCACCAGCAAAAATATTCAGGAGTTTTGAAAATGGCTGATAATGTAGATTCTTTGTATCTTTAATATTTGTTTGACGTTCAAAAGTGCCCGTATGGGTCTAATTGAAACAAATGATTTTGACTTTTGACTTTGACTTAGACTCGTTCTTCGAAGTTTAACTTTGCCATTAATATACAAAACCCGTTAACTTCCTAGGTTACTGGTTATCTCTCTTTTAATACTGTAAGTAACTGAACAGACCGGAATGGAGATAGGTTCTTAGACAATGTAATTCTGTTTCAGTTCGAAGGAACACCATTTTTCCCTGACAATGACCGCTTCTGGGCTGTCTGTGAGAAGTACAAGGTGACGCAATTCTATACCGCACCTACTGCCATCAGAGCTCTCACTAAATTCGGAGATGATATGGTGAAGAGGTAAGTCCGCATGTATATACATCTTACTAATATTATAAATGCTAAAGTTACGATGTTTGTGTGTTTGTTACTCAATCACGCAAAAAAGGCAGGACGGAGCTGGATGAAATTTGGCACAGGCATAGGACACACTCCGGAATAGGACATAGGCTAATTTTTATCAACATATCACGAATATAATATAACAATAATTACATAAAAGGTCGCGAAATATTCATTCAGTTCACAATGTATACCGAGGTCAACGTTCGATCTCTGTTGCTGATTCTAATAATTGTTAATTTGCAAAGGTCAACCTCAACCGAATCTTGAACAACTGACATATTAGCTCTCGATATATAGGTAAGAGGCAGTCACATGGATCGCTACTTCTTACAAATCTTACAAAAATAATATGTCATGACTATGGCATGCTTTCTTCGTATAATACTTACCTACATGCATTAATCTTTACTTATAATAATAATATCTGTAGAGGGGTCAATTCTGTACATTAAATATATTTTCAAAATAACTACCAGGGTGTAATAAGTGATCGATATTGATGCCAAAAATGCAATCACTAAAATTTTTGTCTGTCTGTCTGTAGGTATGTATATTCCTTATAGAAAAAAACTACTCGACGGAATTTAACAAAACTTGGTACAATTATTCTTGGGATAACGGGAGAAGTTACTCCCTCTTTTAAGTTTCTGTCGCGTGTGTAGCCTTAATGGTTAAAGTTACATAGAAATTATGTCTGACGGAAATATTTTACATAAAATTATCTAAAAAAAAATTGTTTTACAGCATATGTCTATCTTTCATGGTTAACTCACAATAGGACGTGTAAGTCCTGATAGCTTAGCAGTTCGGATAATAAGCCATCGCGCTGTTGCATGTGAACACTGACTGAATCATGCTTTAAGGATTATTTTTGTGTAATGGTGGCCGCGTTCGACGCGACGCAGTATATAATATAATAGGTTTTATGAAATATTTATAATACTCACCTATTAATTAGATCCGTAATATTCTATCTATGGACGGACGAATAGCGGAAACTTAGTAACAAAACGTGGGTAATTACCCTATTAGAACAGGCTCTTAATTAAATTACTCGTACCTGTATTAAGTTGTAAAAATTCACTTAAGAAAGATACTTAGATTTATGCCATATCACATACCCAGTTCCGTTTTACTTCCGGCGCATAGTGCTTCTATGCCTATGTAGTTTTATTTCTACTTTTCATTGGACTCATTTCTTTCACGACCTGCCATATAAGACCTTTCAGATAGCACATCGAGGTGAACAGCGTTTGAGTCACGATTTTTTAATCTATTAGATCTTAAATTTTGGTACTTAATTTTTGGGTTACTTACGAAAATTATAAGTACTATTGTATTCTGCACCCCATAAAACACGAAAATACTTAAAGAATAAAATAATTTTCTGTCCATAGACACAATCTGGATACATTGCGCGTCTTGGGAAGTGTAGGAGAACCGATTAACCCTGAAGCTTGGCTATGGTATTACAACGTCGTTGGCCAAGGTCGCTGCTCAATTGTGGACACTTTCTGGCAAACCGAGACCGGTGGGCACGTGTTGACTAGCTTGCCCGCTGCTACTCCGATGAAACCAGGTGCCGCTGTAAGTCAACGTCCCATAGAATCTCTTTGAATAAAAATGAAGCAGTAAGAGAATTAGATATTCACGATTAGCTACTTTCAGGGCTTCCCATTCTTTGGCGTCGACCCGATCATCATTGACGAAAACGGCCGTGTCATCGAGGGAGTTGGTGAAGGGTACCTGGTATTTGCTCGCCCGTGGCCTGGCATAATGACCACTTTGTACCAAGACCACAAACGCTACGAGGATGTGTACTTCAGGAAGTTTCCCGGATACTATTGCACTGGAGATGGTAATTTATTATTATCATCTTGTTTTAAATAAATAATTATTTAATTACTTACTTTTGTTAGTAACTTTCTACGAAAAAACTGCATATGTGTGTTTTCTTCTAATCAGTAATTGTAATGTACCTATGCATACTTGCTTGCAGGTGCCCGGAGGGATGAAGATGGTTTCTTGTGGGTGACTGGCCGCATCGACGACATGCTGAACGTATCAGGCCACTTGATGTCCACTGCGGAGGTCGAAGGTGTTCTCACTGAAGATGCGAACGTAGCTGAAGCGGCCGTGGTGTCGAAACCACATCCAGTGAAAGGCGAATCACTTTACTGTTTCGTAATTTTAAACGAAGGTGCCAAATTTGACGCTGATTTGATCGACTCGTTGAAGAAACGCGTGCGTAGCAGGATCGGCGCTTTTGCCGCTCCTGACGTAATCCAACATGCTCCTGGACTGCCAAAAACCAGGTCCGGCAAGATAATGCGCCGCATCTTGCGCAAGATAGCGCAAGGCGACAAGAACGTCGGGGACACTTCCACGCTGGCTGATCCTTCCATCGTGGACATGCTGTTCCTGACCCGCCGTTAGACGAGTAGGGAACAAAAATGCACTGATTTTTCGTTCCTATTAAGATGCACGGCCTGCACCGTATTATTTAATCATTTCCCGCTTCTCTCCAGTCCTGCTTGAATATCCGTCCGCAACTCTTTCGACAAGGCCTTGTGTTCCAAGTACATTCAAAAAGTTGCGTTAATGACACCGGTATTCATTGACTATATAATACGCAACCGTATATACATAGTTATGTAGTTGTAACTTTATTGTGTGAGGTTTTATACATGGGTTTAAAGTAGGTACCACTTGCCTTCAACGCATAGTTCGTAAAGGTAATTATGTAATAGTTACATCATTGACTAAAGAATCACTGGATAGATGTACATTAGCTAGATTTTATAGCAATTTCCACAGGGTGTGTCTACCAAAATGGTTCAAAATCTCGAATTTGTCTACTTATATTATCTTCGATCTCTATTATGGGTATGCTTTATATAGGTACCGAAATAGTTGATCGAATGTCTATTAAGTGATCCAAAGTCAATGAAATTAATTTATCGTCATAATATTTAGTTACACACCGAGCTGTGTCTACATAATATGTTAAGATTAAGTATACACAAAACATATATACACATTAGTTATACATATTGTTTGTAAACCTTTGGCATTTATGTATATTTTGTCAAAAATCGATTGAATCGGTTTCGTTTGTATCAGTTAACTAATTGTGATATAATAAATAGGCGGGTTTGGTTTAAAAAAATCAAATTCTTATTAAGGTACCTATCAGGTAGTTAAACATATTGAAATGTTTTCCTAATTATTTGTATCATTCAATGGTACGTAATTATGACGATGAAAGTACCTAAGCCTAACAATTAAATTGATTGATTTTATTTACGGAAGCCAAATTTGTATAATTGTTTCAGAGTTTTATCTATTTTATATTTAGAAGCACCGCTTATACTTGAATATTGGATAAGGCACCTATTCAACCATTCCATAATACATAAACTCTTATATATAGTGTATTTTACAAGATACTATTACGTTACGCATCTAATACAGCAGTGAGTACGCAAGATACAATCTGATGTGTACTAGTTTAGCGATAGGATCGTAATTAACAGCGTAATCAGTAATCGTAGGTATTCTAGTAACAAATTGCTCACATTCTTGCATTCGAGACCTAAGTCGCCGTATCAGCTACCGAGTACTCGCTGAGCGAACCTATGTAATAGGTTGTTTAGTTTGTATTTCTTGTTTCATTCGACGTGATTCGAACAGACTGACAGAATTCCGGACGTTAATCGTGTATTACTTTGCCTCTGACGTGTGCCGCAGCCCTCTAGTTTTAGTATTTATTTATTGCTCTAATTATTTTTCTAAGTTATTCAGCAGATTACCGAAGAACTAGATTTATTTAGGACTGGAAGAACCATAGTTTCCTTGTAGTTATGCACAAAGCATGCAGTTACTTAAGTTGCTAGTGTCATCTCATCGCCTATCGTAGTCTTAGGTGTAAGCATACCTATTTTAATTTTTCACAGGTTGTGATATTATTTCGGTATTTTTTTTAATGTAATAGTTGGCTGTGTTTATTTTTTTCTGCACAAAGATTTCGAATTCGATTAACCCATTAAAGTACATAATATTAATACATAAATGTTATACGTGTATTTGACGGCACTTATTTGTGATGCACAATGTTGAGATATTGTAAGTAGATATACGTGTATACCTATCCATAGGTTAGGTTCTAGGATTATAAGTATATAAAAAGCGTAGAGTTTATGGCCTTTTGTGGAGCAATATTATTATTTATTTATATATAGATCAATTTATTCATTGTGTAATAGTTTAAGAGTGAAGTTGTTTTAATAAGTGAACTATTTTGTGAAGTTACCCGCACCGCTACAGTTGGTATCCAGTACCTTCAATAGATGCCAGCTTGGATTTAATTTATTCGTAAGCATTAAGGGCTTACTTGTAGTGTCATCAACCGATTGTTGTAAGCAGGAAATGTATCAACAAGTAATAAATATATACAATCTAAACGCACAATGTATAATTTGATATTCCTGCCAACAATAGAAATATAAAAACAACGATTTTAGCACGAGCATCGAAGTGAAGGATTATTATTATTATTTTGTGTTACGAGTGCCTCTTAGCGACCAAACAAAGAGCTCTGATTATGATTATTTATTAACTATTAGGTATGATTAATTTCAGTCTGTAGGAACGTGCTATTTATACTTATTTTCCACTTGGTACCATATTATCTCTTAGCGTATAGTTAGGCTCTCGAAGTCACTCGAGAGTCGCATAGTAAGTAAGGGAATTTATGTGATTGCATGTCATATCATTAAACTGATTAAATGATATTCCAAAATTGGTTTTCAATCATTCATTAAATTAGAATACAACCTGCCATTGAAGACAATACAACACATACTTAAACCGTACAAAAACACATCCATAAACAGATCAATGGCTACATTAAAACGAACGAACGAGTTATCATAAAGTCATGTCATCAGCGATTCTTTTCCGTACAAGTTGTCTATGGTCAATTTATTGTTATATCAGTATGTTTGACGAAATAAGTGTAGTCGGTTACAGAATCCCGATAGCCATCAACACTCATGATGCAATTATTAATGTATTTGATGACAAAGCAGAATCATGGGATGAAGCGGTGGTGAGTTTAAAAGTGAACGAATGAAACAATAGCGATTGATCAAAACAAAGATGGATACATTATATGAAGAATACTAAGAAAAACAACTCCTTATTATATTTTTTATATTCGTAATTGATAGAAATACGTTCCCATCGAAGTTTCTGACTAAGGACGAAGGCAGGATTAAAATAAAGTGGGATTTTATTGAATTTCATACACACATCAACTCCGACACAAATGACAAAACATATGAAATATAAAAACTCTGTTGTTCTGAACTTTAAGGTGCATACAAGGCACATACATACTTATAGGTAGATAGATAGTACATTGGTATATTTACCTAAAGATATGCCGCTAAACACGTAGGTATACGTACTCTAAACAAAATGGAAAATATCCATCCACGTTACATACTCACTTTATCAACTGCTTGTATCCCCGACCTTTTCCCGGAAGAAATCCTCAGTGTTGGAAGTCATCCAAATGGACGCGGCGAAGATTGATCATAGCTATTAAATTTATACTTCGGAAAAACTATTGTACCTAATCATTACATTTTTCAATAGTGCATAACGTTAATACAGGCTTCAATGCAGCTTAAAATTTAAAGTAGGTAAGTATAATATTGACGTAAAGTAAGAGTGAGATTTACATTTGTATGATTCGATTCGACGATTTAAAGCGCTCCTAGCGGCAAATATCTGGAACTAATCATTGAGATTAATATAAACTACTGATGCACGCATAAGCGGTGGAGATGGCTTGAAATCATATTTTTTTTTTTGTTTTCAACAGAAGTAATGATATTTTTTTTTATATAATAATCTATACTATAATAAATCTGTAGAGAGGTCCATTTTGTACATGAAATATATTTTCAAAATAACTATCAGGGGGTGATAAGTGATCGATACTGATACCAAAAATACAATCAGTAAAATTTTTGTCTGTCTGTCTGTCTGTATGTTCCTTATATAAACAAAAACTACTGGGCAGATTTTAACGAAACTTGGTACAATTATTCTTTATATTCCTGGGCAGGTTTCAGGGTACTTTTCATCACGCTACAATTAATAGGAGCAGAGCAGTGAAGAGAAATGTTGGAAAAATCGGAGAAGTTACTCCATTTTTAAGCTTCCATCGCGTGTGCAGCCTTAATGGTTAGAGTTACATAGAAATTATGTATCACGGGAATGTTCAGCATAAAATTATCCACAAAATATCCGAGGACAGTATATGTCTATCTTTTATGGTTGACTTACAATAACTCCTGATAGCTCAGCAGTTCGGCGCATTCTGATTATATTTGTTTACTAACTATTACGTTTCCAACTCTTTCACTTATATAAGTTTACATTATTATCTATCAATAAAATAAGAATTACAAAAATCAGTATACATGTGTGCACCTTTTTGACGCCATGCTTCAAGATTAATCATAATTAATCGGTTTTTGAGTTGTTTCAATGTGTTGCTGAGTTTTCCTCAAAATTCTGTGTTTATTTTATTACAATCCACTCTGTCTATCTCTCTTTAACATCTAAACTACTGAACCTATTTGAATAAAATTTAGTACAGACATAGTTTGGAACTCAGAAAAGGTTATAGGATAGATTAGTTTATATAGGCGTATTGCGATCTTAGACTCAGCGGCTGAGTCTCAGGCCCACGGTAAGAAACATAATATCTAATTTCATTCAATTTGTTTAAATGGTGAAGAGAATGAAGAATGCTAATTTTACCGGAAATTGGTAATATTCTATTTCCCATTTCCGGTAAATTTAGGAACAAAACGTGTCGTATATCCTTTCGCAAGTGTCAAACAAACATTGTTTCTCACTTAAATGTGTGTGCAGTGGTCTAGAGGATAGAAAGTCCTTGTATTCTCATTCAAAAATCTGTATGTTAATCAAAATACGTGGCTTAACTAACGATTATGCTTCTTATCATGAGTATAGGCTTGAACTTTAAAGTTTACTTTTTATATTCTGTTATACATTAGTTGTTTCAGTGCCAAATGGCTAGACACAAAATTAAATGTTAAAGTCCCTACGTCTGACAAGCTAGAGTCCATTGTTGACACGTCTACGAGCTACGAGATTGATTTAGCAGGGAAACGTTGCTACGCGCTTCAACCTACGTGCTACGAGCTGCATGCTACAAGCTGCTCACGTGACGAATTGTGGTTGAGGGCTGGTTTAAAACCCTGGAAACTTTTGACATTACGAACTCTCTTTATAGCAACATTTTACATGAAATGTTGTTTGTGATGTGATCATTACCCTAGAGGCAAAAATAGATAAGCTGTACTACGATCCCGACTTTCCAAAGTACATAAATATTTGTCTCTCGTAATTCAGTTTTTTAAATTAATGGAACTAAGTTACTATAGAAGCATTTTTTTAGATTGGCGCCATTTTGGAGACGGAAAAAATATTCAAGTTGAATAATGAGGAATTGCTTGTATCGTTTAAATTTTTAACTCCTTCTCTGTATTGTTCTGAGTACGGGTGAGCTTGTAAAACATATACATTTTAACGAACGAAAGAACAAACCTATCCTTTGACGACAGCTTTTCGTTCTTCATCATCAACATCTTCCATTCAAATCCTTTCTTTGGAACGAGCACCTAGTTTCACTGACGAGCAGACTAATTCATTTTGATGTTTCAAAAGTGTGTCTTCTGGTGTTTGTCCGAAGGTATGTATAGGTACTTTAGTTAAAATAAATGTTTTTTTTTAATTTGATTTTGAAATAAACAAAATTTATTTTGGTAAAACAATGTTTTTATTAAATTTATTCTTAATTTTGTTTTAACATAAACTTAGATGATTTCATTAGGCAAACAATTTAAAAATAATTTAGACGCACTCGCTGCAATTATAAATGAGCAGACAATTATAAATTATCTTCTTAGCAACACTCAAAGGTGTGAAATTGGATACTAACTTAATTCCAAAGCGAGATGATTTTCATTTAATGTTAAAATATATCCACTTAGAACGGTTGTTGCGTTGTTTATAGTCCATCTGCTGGCAGCTTTATTCGTTACCCTTATGAAGATTACATTAACCTACTTCTTCTTCAGTTTCTTAGAAGTGGCGACCTCTGGAGTACCTCCTCCAGTCTTGAAATAAAGACCGTAGAACACACCGGTAGCTACCACCAATATCGTGGACAACACAGTTATGTACTCAGCGCGGTTTCTGAAAGTAAATTTGTTACATTCAGTTTCTTTAATATAAAAAAAGATTCGTCAAAACGTTCGAAAAACAAAACAGAATAATATAAAACATGCTAGAATATCTTTTTAAATTGCTTGCTAAAACTTTTCTGAGACGTGCGTGCGATTTCACTCGGTTTTTCTTCGATAAATGGGCTACGTTATGCAAAACCAGCCGGGGTTGCGGTTCCAGGAGAAGGAATGGGGGGTTTTTTTGGGCAGTATGAGTCTGACACTCCTTCCCGCCCATCCCTGGGCGGGACAAGTCATTTGATGATTTTCCTCTCACAAAATGAAATTCCAGATGTTAAATAAGTAAAGATAATCTTCTGATTTATAATTAACGTTAGTATATAGAATAATAAATTACTATAGACAGTATTTAAAGCAGCACTTACTCAAAGGGTGTCCCACATATGAGATACCAGGTGGCACCATTGCGCGGCAGCTCCTTAACACAGTGGAAGTCGAAATAATCTTCGTTGTAGTCCGTAGGACAGAAGTATTTGCGTTTCTCCAATACCTGGAAACAATTGCGAATCGTTCATTTATTTGTACAAATAATGCTATGAGGATGGTCAAGCCGTTCTATATAATACCAGCAATAGATGTTTTTAAAACACGTCAGTTTTAATGAAATTTAAAGTACTTAATAAATTTATAACCATTTAGGTAGTACCCAATTCAGTTATACAAAATATTATAAACTATACCACAGAACAAGCGACATCTCTAATTGTTAGTTTGTATAACTTCACCAACACACAACAAAGGCAAAATAGTGTATTTATATAGATTGATAATTCTTTGTATCTCATTGTAAGTGTACTACTGTTCTTATGAGAATACCTAATATTTCAAGTTATTATCTAAACACAAAACAAAAATATTGCCTATCGCATCGTTCGCTGAAATCATTCAATTTTTTTTATTTCATTAAGTTTAACCGACTTCGAAAAAGGAGGATGATTCTCAAATCGACCGTAATATGCTTTTTTTATGTTTGTTCGCCGATATCTCCGTTATTTATAAACCGATTTGATAGTTCTCAAAAAATTTAGGGGCGTGTAGCGCTTTTGCGTATTATTTTAGTAGGCTGGGGCTTTTTATTACACTACACATTGCCAAGCTGGATGACAGTCGAGGGATCTTCTTGACTATTTGAAGTAGTTGCCTTGTGTGTGTTTGGGCTTGAATAATTCGTATTGGTGAGCACTTTGCACCAAGATTGGTCGTAACTGTCATTAGGGGTCTGATGATGAGAACGAAGGACAGCTCAGGGATCTCCTGAACGGTTTACGGTAACTACCTCGTGTTTGGACTTAATTCATTTATATCGATGAAGACTTTGCACCTTTATGGGTTACAATGAAGTTATGTAGTAATCTGATGATGAAGACGAAAGACCGTAATGTGATCTCTTTGACTATTAAGAGTAGTTATGTAGTGTTTGTTAAAAAATATTTTATTTCTTGTTTGTGTG